GCCAGTGTGCTTCACTGGGGGATCTGTGCCAGTGTGCTTCACTGGGAGATCTGGGGGAAGTTATAGCACTCTGTAGCACAATAAGAAATCTCAGCTCCATTCCTTCAGCAGTGATTGGTGTCTCAGATCCTGACAATGTCTCCTGATATTCACCAAATTCATTTCACTTTTGTTAAATTGTTTGCCTTACCTTGAATCTTCTCCCATTTATACTGTATGTCAGTATCACAAGAAGCTCTTCTAAAACGTCTGCGGTATTATTGCATATTTCTAACACTAATTTGTCTTTTCCAATAAATTAATAAAAAATGCTCCAGCACACTCCAGTGGCTTCGCATATATGAATGTATCAGAATGTGGTAAATTGAATGTGTAAATTATTCATTGGATCACATAAAGATTCAGTGAAGCATTGTTGGTTTTGTTGCTGAATTTGTCAGCATTGCAGGTTGCTATGGATTATGTTGGAGCATGAGATACAGATGTGGGTCTGTTATTATTTCATGGCATCATGTTACCTTGGATCACAGGTATGGCCATCTAAAACTGGAACTGTTCCAGCCGGCCAGTAATTTTCCATTCTCTGCTGTTTATTCTACTGGTTGGGCTCCCAGCGAACCTGTTTACCAGTCAGCATCCCGAGCAGTGAGAACAGTGAGTTATACAGTTCAAGAAGGAAACGGTGAGTTTACATTTTTGGTCCTGGGGAACTGCAGGGTTCTGCAGGGTTCTGTTGTGTTCCAACTCTGTTCATGACACTCCAGTTACTGACTTAACTAGTGATGATTTATATTCTCTTTAGCCATTGACTGAAGATGCCTTTTAAAAATGACAGACTGTGAATAAACAGGGACCTTAATAAATTGTTAGAATGAAATTGTAAAGCCTTCTTCTGTCACAGGTTGACCTGCTGCAGGAGTTCCCACTCAGAAGGGCCACAGAGCTTACAGAGGAGGTGAGAGCAGACCTCCTGTCTGTTTGAAACCTCCTGCTGCACGTGCAGAGAGGGCTGGAGACTAAGGCTTCCCTGTGGTGGCTGATGACTCCCCTCTGGTGGCCGTTGACTGTCATGGTCCGAATCCACTGTTGAGTACCTCTGTTGTTTCGCAAACAGAAGAGAGACCAAGTAAGCTATTTATATATCCCATGATTCATAGCAACCTCTGCACTTAAGAGCAACAGATCCCTGAAGGATTGCATTTAAATGGCTGTTCTTTTTAGTTTTTTTTGTCCCATTTGTTCCCTAAATCTGACAAGTTTAATTACATTTAATGTTTTCCAAAAACAGAGCAAAACAACACACTTCCACCTCATGTCCACCAGACCACCCAGAACACAATAAGGAATAGAATCCAATCAGTGGTACTCAATTTCCAAGCTTCTGCTGAAGAACCCCTCAAATAAAGTCAGATAGTTCATAGAGAAAAGGGCTGTCCATTCTGCAAAGCCAGCGTGTCTGCAGGTTTTCTTGGTCTTTTTTAAAGAAGCAGCAGCACCTAAAAATCTTGGAAAGCTGTTAAATTGGTCCAAACAAGCTAATAATAAGTCGAACTGGGATGAAAATCTATTGACATATTGACGCATATGTTCAGGACTGGACATACCCCAGACTTTCATATCAGACAATCAGGATCGTGCCTGTCAGCACCCAAGCCTGGGTCATGGGTCCAAATAACAGAGAGACTGTCATGAGTTTTAATTACATGCGTACATGAACTGGGACTGTTCACTTCCTCTTGAAGGAATTCTGACCAGCTGGATCCAGAGGTATAAGGGCTAAAATTTCCAATTCAATTAAAGACAGAACTTGGGTCATTCAGATATAACACTATTAATGCTAGAAGCTGTTAAAACTGTTTAAACTGTCTCGTGTATGTCTTTGTAACAGCACACTGAAGCTTAGTTTTTAGTGTCTATAAGTGTGACTAAAGACTTCTAAAAAATAATATTCTAATTGTGTCAAGGATGGAATTTTTTTAAGACTTCTTCTCTCTTATCAAGCAATTTACTTCCTCCTTTGTTTGCTGGTCACGAATGGATTCAATTAATTAGACTTTCAGTTAAGCTTGTTGAAAACGTGAGCCAGTAGAGTATTCAAGGCACAATTAAGATCAATCAGTCTTAAGTGCAGGATTTGTAAATTCTCAGCTGTTAAGCCTGATGGTATTTTTACTTTTGTGTTCTTCTTGTTCAGAAAGGATTGGCATGCTCCTGTAGTCACTTAATCAATATATTCTGGACACTGATGTTAATTCCAACTATGTAAAATGTAAAATGTGATTGCAAAAGTCCCATTTTTTTTCACTAAATGACATGGAATGAGTCACCTTACTGTAAACTGTTTTAACCTATTCTATCCATACAGCTACACATAACACGCCCTTTTAGAATCAGGTAAATTAATTTGAGTTAATATGGGTTAAGCAAGTAAGCTGTGTCAGATTTTGTAAGCATTTCAACATAATAGGGTAACGTTTTCATGCTGGAAATGTATTCTACTGCCTACATGCATTAAAAGGAGACACAGCAGAGTGCAGAAGAGGAAAATAGGCTTATAGCACAAGACTGTGGCATACAGCATGGAGCACACGAGAATTTTTTGCACAATAGAGATGATCAAATAAATTATCCAGATCTCAATTTCCAAACCTGTTGGACAGGAAGGCACACAGCTTGTGTGGTTTTCTCTGTGGAAATGTCCATGTGAACGGGGGGCGTTTGAATGGAATTTCACAGCACATTTTGCTTTTTAAGATACTCTGTCATTTAGCGAGTCTGGGTCAGACCAGAGACCTGGGACCGTTTGGATTTTATGCGGCTATATTGATTGTTCTGTTAAGATAAGGTCCCACAATCCCCGAGAATTAACATAGATAAGGGCAAGCTGATAGTTAAGGTTCTGAAATGTGTGTGTGGGTGTCAGATGTAGTTTTTATTGACTTTGCCAAACAAAATTTTCTTCAATGAAATCGATGTTGCTGTTTTCTTTTTTAAAAATTATGTATGTTTTTTACAGACTTTATAAACTCAATGATTTAGCCATACCCAAATGAAACAAAAATATATAGAATATGCAGAATTCATATGCAGAATACATAGCAGGTATGATCTATATTAAAGCAAAATTGTATAAGGCATTTTTTTCTGTGAAACAAGAGCCATTTAGTATTTATTCCCATACATGCATATTTATAATCTATATCACAAATGCATATTATTAAATAAATGTTGCTCTAACCTATCAGAAAAATCATAGAGATACAAAAGTATTCTATTAAAAGACTTAAGGCTTTCTTCCAAAATTACTTAATAAATATGGGCTTTGCACATGTGTTTTAATTTTCTCATATTTTTATGACTCCGATTGATATGTGCATCTGTAATTGAAAACACAGTTCGGGTATTCTTGTACTGTAGTTCATTCTGATGTGGCACCTTGCATATCTTAGAAAAAACAATATGATTCATTTCTGAGTCTCGGCTGAAGGAAAAATATGCAGTATATTTCTCCAAAATAATTAGTTAAAGGGGACAATGACATTTGACCAGATCCCACTTGGATCGCTGCACACTCCCAGACTATATTCAATGATGTTGATTCTCTTGCATAACTATCTCATAACTATGTTACCCAGCCATGTTTCAGATTGAAATTTGATCAAGTGGAATCTGGCGTTGTTGATATTAACAACCTGTATGCCGTTCTCCCATTTATTTCTAAAAGTGTTATATTTTATGCAAGACGAGAGTTATAATGTACACATTTTAATTGTACTTGGTTTGTGATTGACCTAGTTTGCAGGCTTCATATGATTTTGTATTGTCCAGGTGGCTACTGCCCAAGATCCTAGGCTGGTGCTGGCCACTCAGGTGGGTCAGGTCCTGGTGACCGATGCTGGTGAACTAACAGGGGGTACTCTTCCCTCTCGTCCAGGCCCTTCAAACCCAGTGCCCCTTTTTAGATAAGACTTAAAACTGAGGTCCTGGACATTGATGGTGGTGTGCCAGTTTTATAATGAAAAGGCCTGTTAATAACACCAGGAGGAAATTAAACTTATGACATAAGTCAATCAGAAGATTGCTTTAGACTACCCTTCAATCGCTATATTTTTGAGTTTGTATACTTAACTATAGTGGGTGTCTATAAAGTAACAGTTTTGCTAGGATATTTGCTTTTGCCTAAACGTCGTCTGACTAATGTGTTTCATTTGCTGCAGGTCAAGAGTCCATAGAATTTCATGCTCATTCTACTTTCTTTACAGTATTTAGTTTGCACTGCTGTGAAATGCAACACCAACCTAATAAATGGAAATCTACCAGCTTTTCCCTCTAGGGTGAGTCATCTGATAGGGCCTAGACTGCAGCGTTTCAATGTGAATTAATGCACATGAGATTTGGTGCTCATTTCATTCTTTCTATGTGGGGGAGGCTTAACAGTCTAGGGCATTTTCTGGCCTGGATGTTTTTTTTTTCTTTCTGAACACACTTCTCTGGTGGATATAGTTAGCAGCCTTGATCTGTATTGGAATATCTGTCTTTTTTCATCATGTAGCTGTCTCGTTTTAACAGCTCATACCATTGCTTTGAATATTGCCCATGTTTTTCCCTGTGGCCATCACTACAGCTTTTCTGATCCACAGAGAACAGTGCCACCTATTGGTCTATCAATAACGCCTTGAACATACTACACTTTCTTTAGGTTTTAAAGCTTCTCTTTTAAAAAACTATAATTATCCCATAGATATTAGGCATGGGACTCTGATTTACCCATCCGCCAATAGGACCATCATCTGTTAATTGACACTAATTAGCTACTTATCTGCAAAATGTAAATGTCACGATCGTTACTCCTCCTCTTAAGGGCGCTCCAGCCCTTCTTCGTTCTGTCCCATTCCCCACACCTGTTCCTTATTCCAGCCCCTCTTTAGTTCCACCTTTAAAGCCAGACGCAGGCGATTGCTCGGGGCTTCTCATTGATTT